AAGTTGGCCACACCCAGCAGGAACTCATTAGCATAATAGGCCACACCCAACAGCAGGAACTCATTAGGATTGGCTACATTAGGGGTGTGTGGCATAAACAATAAGAAGCAAAAGGTGGGTGTGGCTGGATGACCACACTTCTGGTAACATGGGAATGTGGCTTAATATGTTAATGAGTGGTGCGGTCAGGGGTGTGGCCTAATATGCTAATGAGTTTCTGCTTCTGGTTGTGGCCTATTATGCTAATGAGTTTCTGCTGGACCTTTTCTACAAAAAAAAGCCCTGGATAAAATGGAGAGGAGAATGATGTCAGTGCTTTGGTTAGTCATTGTAGACTAAGGTTGGGTATAAACAAAGCTGTTGATGGATAAAATGTAGGTCGGTTAGTGGGTGGGAAGAAAGGAAGCAGAGAAAGGCTATGGGGGTTGCCTGGAGGGAAAGCGGAGACAGCTTGTGGAAAGGGAATGCAGGGGAAAGTGAGGTGGCCCCTGCAAGTTTTTTAAAAAATATTTTTGTGCGTGCCTGTGTTTTTTGTGTGCTTGCCTGGAAGTCATGGTGACTTCTGGCAACCCCTACTGGGGGTTTGGACATTTTTCAGAGAAGTGGTTTGAGTAGCCTGCTTCTGCCTCCGGCCTCTAGTATTCCTTGGAGGTTGCCCTGCTTAGCTTCCGAGACTGGATGAGATCAGGCATGCCTGGGTTGTCCTGCAAGTTCTTGAGGGTTCTGCATAGTGCAACTCAGCCTGAACCAGTGGGTGGCACCGTGCAACTGGGACGCACTTTTTCAGGCGAAAGGCTTCCAAGGGGAGGGAATCCAAAAAAGCTGAAGATAAGGGACGGTTGCCTGGTGTGTTGAAGAGAGAAGGCAGCAGTTAAAGGAGAGAAGCTATGGAGGCTTTCAATAAAGGCAAAAAGGAAACAGTGAGGGGAAAGGAAAATAAGACACCTAGTCCTTGCTGGTCCCCTGCCTTGTGTGTGTTAATGTCAGACTATCAAAAGAGACAGGGTTGCCAACTCCAGGTTAGGAAATACCTGGAGATTTTGGGGGTGGAGCCTGAGGAGGGTGGGGTTGGGGAAGGACTTCAATGGGGCATATTGTCATAGTCCACCTTCCAAAGTGGCCATTTTCTCCAGGTGAACTGATTTCTGTCACCTGCATATGAGTTGCAATAGCGGAAGAGCTGCAGCCGCCACCTGGAGGTTGGTAACCCTAAAAGGAGCGGGTCACCATCAGTGTTCCCTCTAAGCTGAGCTAGTGCGAGCTAGCTCACAGTCTTTTAGCCTCCAGCTCACACAATTTTGTCTTCGCTCAGGAAGGATGGCTCCCGAACAAACTAATTTGTTTGGTGTAGCCAGTTTGGTGTAGTGGCTAAGTGTGCGGACTCTAATCTGGGAGAACCAGGTTTGATTCCCCACTCCTCCACTTGCACCTGGCTGGATGATCTTAGGCAAGCCATAGTTCTGATAAGAGCTGTCCTTGAAAAAGTGCACTTTCTGTCAAGAGCTCTCTCAGCCCCACCTACCTCACAGGGTGTCTGTTGTGGGGAGGGGGAAGGGAAAAGAGTTTGTAAGCCGCTCTGAGACACCTTTGGGTAGTGAAGGGCGGGGTAGAAATCCAATCTCCTCTTCTTCTTCTAATTGATGCAGCAGCCAAATCGCTCGCTCACAACTTTAATGCCAAGTAGCTCACAAAGCAGAATTCTTGCTCACAAGACTCCACAACTTAGAGGGAACATTGGTCACCACCAGTGTTCCCTCTAAGCTGAGTTAGTGTGAGCTAGCTCACAGTTTTTTTAGCCTCGGGCTCACACATTTTTGTCTTAGCTCAGGAAGGATGGGGCTCCAGATCAAGCTAATTTATGCAGTAGCCAAATCACCTGCTCACAACTTTAATGCCAAGTAGCTCACAAAGCAGAATTCTTGCTCACAAGACTCCACAACTTAGAGGGTCACCAATGTTCCCTCTAAGCTATGGAGTCCCGTGAGCAAAAATTCTACTTTGTGAGCTACTTTCCTTTACCGTTGTGAGCGAGCGATTTGGCTACTGCATAAATTAGTTTGCTCTGGAGTCACTTTTCCTGAGCCGAGACACAAATGTGTGAGCCGGAGGCTAAAAAACGGTGAGCTAGCTCACACTAGCTCAGCTTAGAGGGAACACTGGTCACCACCACGTGTGTCACTCGCTGCTTTTGCGGCGCTCTTTCTCCAAGGGGTCCTCGGAAGTGGCCGAGGCGCTACCATCTTATTTTTCACATTCCTGTCGCTGTCTCTGAGGGCGCGCGCAGGTGCATGGAAGCTTCCAGAGAAGCGCCCACCGCACCCACCTGGCCGCCTCCTCCTCAGGTGCTCTTCTCCGCCTGCGGGGAGCCACCTGCCGGCCCAGAGGCGTGGCCTCGCTCCAGGTGGCGGCGTCGCCCTCCCCTCCTGCTGCGGTGGTGGTGCCAGGCGGCGCTGCGATGGCCGTCGCCGCCAGCAGCGCCCCTATCATCCTCCCCCGGCGGCGGCGGCGGCGGCGGGTGGGTCGGTGCGCGGCCTCCTTCTGGCTGGCGCTGGCCTTCGACGCGGTGGGCCTGGCCATCCTGCTGGGCGGCGTCTTCGCCGACGTCTTCTTCTCCGACCTGCTCATCTACGGCGGGGGGATCGGCATCTTCCTCAGCCTCGTCTGGTGGGTCTTCTGGTACGTGGGCAACCTGGAGGTGCCGCCGGCCGAGCTGCAGGACGACGTCGGGCTCTCCGGGACGACGCCGCGGGCCAGGAGGGTCCCCGCCGCGGGGGCGGGCGGCCAAGGGCTGGGGGGCAGCGTCCGCTCCCTCGGCCGCCGCGTCTCCGGCGCCTTCCACCGCCCTCGCGGCGGCGCCTCCAACCCCCGAGTCGTGATTGTTCGCTCGACGGCCGCCGTGGCGCTGGAGCTGGAGCCGGTCTGCGGGAAAGAAGTTGTGAGCAAGTAATTTGGCCGCTGCATCAATCAGTTTGCTCTGGAGCCCCATCCTTCCTGAGCGGAGACAAAAATGTGTGAGCCGGAGGCTTAAAAACTGTGAGCTAGCTCACACTAACTCAGCTTAGGGGGAACACTGGTCATAATAAGACCAGCAAAATGAACCAAAATATTTAAGACAGAGTCTACAACATAAGAACCTTACAAGCTTAATTCCTAAAATACCACACCGGTCAATTCCATCATTAATGGCTTGAGTTTTACAGTACATTGCGCTTTTTAATTACCAGGTAACAATATTTAGCAACATTGCGTGTGACGGAATCATAAGGATCAGCCAGTAAGAACTTCATCAAGCATTCCTCGGCATATAGGGGGGTATATCAGTGTTCCCTCTAAGCTGAGTTAGTGTGAGCCAGCTCACAGTTTTCTAGCCTCCGGCTCACACATTTTTGCCTTGGCTCAGGAAGGATGGGGCTCCAGAGCAGACTAATTTATGCAGCAGCCAAATCGCTCGCTCACAACTTCAATGGCAGTCGCTCACAAAGTAGAATTTTAGCTCACAAGACTCCACAGCTTAGAGGGAACATGGCTCACAACGACCCTGTGAGGCAGAACAGACTCAGAGAGAAAGAGGGTGTGACCCAGAGTAACCTCCTTCCTTTTATTCACCCAGCAACCCTGCGAGGTAAGTGGGGTTTCACGAGAGAACGAATCGAGGTGACCCAATGATCTTCACGGTTCTCCCCTTCTCCATTTTATCCCCCCCCCCCAATTACAAACCTGTGAAATCGTTTAGGCAAAGAGAGAGAGAGTGAGGGAGAATTCATTCAGTGAGTTCCATGGTGTTCCTCTGCCCTTTTTATCCTCCCAGTAAAGGTCAAGGTTTCCCTTGCTCAAAAGCCAGTCGAGTCCGACTCTAGGGTTGCGGTGCTCATCTCCGTTTCAAAGCTGAAGAGCCAGCGCTGTCCGAAGACGTCTCCGTGGTCACGTGGCCAGCATGACTAAACACCGAGGCGCACGGAACGCTGTTCCCTTCCCACTGAAGTGGTACCTATTTATCTACTTGCAATTTCTTGCTTTCGAACTGCTAGGTTGGCAGGAGCTGGAACTAGAGGCGGGAGCTCACTCCGTCATGCGGCAACTCGGGTCTCGAACTGCTGAACTACTGACCTTCCACAGCCTGCAGTTCAGCGTCTTAACCCCTTGAGCCACCGCAGCTCCTTTATCTTCCCAACATCCCTGCAAAGTAGGTGAGGCTGAGAGAGAATCCATGGCTGGTCCCAAGTCATCTAGCAGGTTTTGTTGGTCTTCTCTTCATTTTATTCTCTTCACAACCTTTGGGAGAGGTCAGGCGGGGAGACAGAGCGGGGAGGGCTGGCTCCCAGTCATTAAATGAGCTTCATGGCCCTCTCCTCTCCGTTTTATCCTCACAACAAACTAGAGGTGGGTTAGGTTGACAGTAAGTTTCACAGTTTCTCCTACGTCCTATCTCCCCATAAAACACACATTCATTATTTAGTTACGTCAGGGCTCTTTTTGTAGAAAAAGCCCAGCAGGAACTCATTAGCATAATAGACCACACCCAACACCAGAAACACATTAGCATATTAGGCCACACCCCTGCCAGCACAGCTCATTAGCACATTAGGCCGCACCCCCATGTTACCAGAAGTGTGCTCATCCAGCCACACCCACCTTTTGCTTCTTATTCTGTTTACCTTGTTTGTTGTCAAAACCCAGGGTTTTTTTTGTAGCAGGAACTCCTTTGCATGTTAGGCCACACACCCCTAATGTAGCCAGTCCTAAAGAGTTTCTGCTGTTGGGTGTGGCCTATTATGCTAATGAGTTCCTGCTGGGCGTGGCCAACTTGGGAGCCAGCCGGAACTCCGTTCCTGTGCGTTCCTGCCCAAAAATAGCCCTGATTATGTTGACCATTTCACCTCACACGAACTTCAGTTAATTTTAACCACTCTTAGAATCACTTCCTCAGACAGTTACAACTGAAGACTTGTCCATCCCAGTAAAATAATTTTACTGGTGTTCTTGTCATCCTGGTGACAACTAATTTTTGCCACACAGGTGGCAAAGGCATCTGTTCTTCTTTTTAGATGAGAAACCAGACGGAAATTGAGCTTCTTGTTTCACTTCCAATAGGGTCTGAGGGAAAATTATGCCCACATGCAACAGAGAGTCAAGTTCATAGTGTACTTTAAAACCTACTTATCTTTACAGATCAGTAATTTCTTTTTATATTACTAAAGTACTCTGCCAACTACTATAATCAGTGGTCAAGGTAAACAAGATGTTGTCAAAGTACAAAGTACCAGCATAAGTTCTGGTGATTACATAAGATCCCCACCTTGAATGTTGCCCTTGCAAGCTACTAGTTGGGTGGCTGAAAATCGGATGGCTAACTCAACAATGTTGGAGACCTATGTTATTTCAGCCAACTGATTAGTTCTGAGAAGAAGGGGGAGAGAAATGGAAAACTGCACATGACAAATAGACTGTGAGTTAGGGTTGCCAGCCTCCAACTGGGGCCGGTTGGATCTCCCGCTTTTACAACTGATCTCCAGCTGACAGAGATCAGCTCCCCTGGAGAAAATGGCTGCTTTGAAGGGTGGACTCTATGGCATTGTACCATGCTGAGGCCCCTCCTCTCTCCAAACCCCACCCTCTCCCAGATCCACCCCCAAAGTCTCCAGGTATTTTCCAACCCAGACATGGCAACTCTACTGAGAGTTGAGATTATTGCACAATCTCGTCATTCTTGCCCAGAGCTATGTCCCACTGATCTCAATATTGGCGGCTCTTGAGTAAGTGCACCTACGGCTGCAGCTTGAACAACAACATTCAAGGTATAGTTCCAGCAAACTTTGTTGCAGAACATCTTCACAAACAATTTCATTTATACCCATTATCCATAACCACTTTTTACACCTTTTCAGACAACCCAAGCACATATGTTGAGTAAGAAATTGTTGGGTAGCAATTTTAATTTTTTAGGTCTTGAGCAAATATCAACAACAGTTATAGAATAATGATAAAATAAAATTGCCACAATAAAATTACAATACTTAGCAGGAGAGTATTGCAAAGGTATTATAATAGACAAGAATTTGACCCCAGATTGTGTAACTGTAGAACTAGTATCAGCCAGCAAAAAGGAAACTACCTAAATGGGGGAGATCCAAAGTTCTCGCAATGAGAACCATTGGTCACAGAATAACAAGATAATCAATGCATGACAGAGGCATCCAGAGTATGGAATATTAGCAAATTGTCCCTTCAATTCAGCTGTGGGCATTCAGGTTACCTAGCATAAATGTGTGGTGACTGCTAGGAACCGTAAGGTATTTTAAATATGGAGGGAGAGTTACAGGGTGGAGATTCCAAAGGCTAGGGTGGAGCATACATGACAAGCCCAAAACTCCGTACTAATTGTATTAAGTTTTCTTTTTGATCTCTCTCACTGCTTTGTAATAGCCAGTATTTTGGATCATTGTAAGGGAAAGACCAAGACACTCAAATCTGCTATCCATTGATTCCACCCAGGCACTTTTGTAAGTATCTTCCCTCAGAAGATGTAAAAAACTTCCATAGGAGTTTTGATACTGAAAAAAGCATCTTCAGTCTCAGATTCCAGTGACTGTTGAGCAGATTCCACTCTTAGTGCAGTTCCTACAACACAAAATAGTACTCCAGGTATTCGACGAAAATATAGTGAGAGTAATCAATAGAATAAGAGACATCATTTATCCAAACACCCACACCATAAAGGATTTCTGGAAGTATTGTTTAATTAAAAGCCTTAAATGGCTGCAGATACATATTGTCCCCTGTAGAGTAGAAAAAACATACAAGAGTGTTTTGGCAATTTTGAGCTAAATGCTAAATTGTGACTAAACATAACACCCACATAGTTGAAGTGGGCCACTTGTGCTATTTCCATCCCATTTATGGTCCAGGTCTTGAATTTAGTATTCAAGTATTTTTGTAACTGATGTTCATATTTTCTTCCAGAACTGTTTGAAATAGCACACATCTGTAAATTTTATAGTGTACCTCTAGCTGACTGACATTTAATAATCGAGTTTTTCCTATTGTGGGTGATACTATAATAGTCTCTGTATGTACTAGATTCTGTCAATGTGCCTATGAGTCATAGGTTTGTATTAGCAAGGTGTACATCATGGAAGCAAAAGAGAACTCTTTGGCTGTATGGCTAGTTTTGAATTTTATACCAGTAGACAAAACTGACCAAGTGTGATTTATTATTTGTGTGCCACAGATCAGACTATAGGAAAACCTTCTATACTTCATAAGAAGAAATCAGAGTTCCTTATTAAAGTCTTCAAATTAATTTGTCTAAACACATTCTCAGACCTACATCATGCAGAAGCAGCTTAAAGTTTTCATGTTTTAAAAAAAATACTAAAAGTGCAGTTAGGCTATTCCACAAATCTGTTATTACACAGGACAGTCTCTTGTACAGTTTATAGACTGCACAAAATCCTTCCAGATTAAGGCTCAAAGAGTCTCTTTTTATTGCTGCATGGTTCTGAATGTTCTAAAATCATGTTCCCCGTCACTCTACATACTATAGCACTCCTGAAACTGAATTACTTCAGAATGCAGATTGCCTCACTTAATGGTTTCTTGCATTATAAACGACAACTCCATAAAAGTTTTAATGACATCAGAGGAAGTGTTCTAGTCTCATATTCTCCTCATTCTATCCAAGGTGGTGGGACCACCCCTTCCCCTGTGCTCTGCTTCAATAGCTTCACGCATTGGAGCCGGGCCTCCTGCAGATACCACTCTGAAAACGAGCAAAATTAACAGCTGTACTCTGCTGTGCCTCTCCCCCCTATGCTGCCTTGGTATGGAATAGCCTATCTGACAAGGTCAGGAAGGTTCCCGCTCTCCTTGCTTTGTGCATGCTATGCAAAACTGAATTATAAAGGAGGGCTTTTTTACACAGTTAACTCTGGCTGTACTGTAACTAAA